AATTTAAATCCTAAAGGTAGAAGATGTTTTATAACAAATGAGCTCTTATTTTGAGTAAATCCAGACTAATAATGGGGACCAAATTTTGATCAAATTTCTCATGATTTGGTGAGCAGCTAGAGAGATTAGAAGCCCAATTTCTTTCCAGTTAATTTTTAAATGTGGAGTTCTTGGAAATTTTTTCTTGTGTAGCACTTGGGGGTGTATTAGTGGCAGTACTAAGAATGCCCTAGAAAGAAGAAAACAAAGGTTGAGTTCAGTCTAAAAATTGAGGAATCTACAATCAATGAAGCACATGGGAGCAGTTACTGAATTTCTCCCAAATTTGAAGCTGACTTAACTTATCCAAGAATGCTTACTAAAATCAGCTGTGGAATGAAAGTCTGTGATCTATAGGCTAAAAATAAGTGTGGAGACAATACTGTAAAAACTTGTTTTATAATAACTGAGCATTAAAAAAAAAAAAGTTGCCATTGAGTCAATTCAGACTCAAGACAACTCCATTTGTTTCAGTGTAGAACTGTGCTCTGTATGGTTTTCAGTAGCTGTGACCTTTCAGAAGCAGATCACCAGGCCTTTCTTCTGAGGTGCCTCTGGCAGAGTTTGAACTGTCAGCCTTTTGTTTAACCATTTGTGCTGCCCAGGGACTCCAACTGTGTATAGAATTACATAATTAATGACAGAATTCCACAAGCCCAGCATCTATTAAACCACCTGACAATCTACTTATTGTATAAGTGAATAAATGAAAGATTGAATAGTCTCCATGAAACAATTCAGCTTCAGGCATCAATAGAAACTTTGTTTGTGTCCTCTTCAATCCAAGCTATGAAAACAGCTACTAAATTTACCCTCTTGGCAATGTAGTTAATATTCATGTCTCACCAGGTGGACTGAGTCTTAGGCTTCACTGGAATTTTAATGTCTGTTTAGTACCTTTGTACAGCTACCACGTTGGCAACCTAAAGTTACCATTTGTGAATTAAAAGTATTGAAAACACTTAGCTACATAGTCACCATTAACTAGAGCTGTGAGGAATGGAGAAACAACTCTGGGACTGGGCAGCCTTGAGAACTAAAAATTTTGTGTTTTTTCTCTCATCTTTGACATATTGATCCTGTGGGGCCTGTGATAACATGTCTACAAATTTTGAAGAAAAAGTATTATATATTTTCTGCTGGCAGCGGGTAGCACTGCTTGAAAAGCAGAGCAGACAGAGAGCAACTTCTCTGAGAGACAGTGCCCTGAATTCATACTTAAAGCCTCCTAAACTGTGAGAACATGAATTTCTGTTCCTTAAAGCCAACCACTTGGGGTATTTTCGTTACAACAGCACTAGGAAACTCAGACAAGAAGTCAGTGCCCATCACCATGAATTATCATCTATTTAGACCAAAGAGCAGGCTGGATTCACAACCCCAAGGAAGAGGAAGAGATGGTGAGTGAATCTGGCAGCAAACAGAGAAGCAAAATTGTTGACTACTAACTATAGAAATGAAGGTATTGCTTCCCATTTCTGGTCCTAGATGTCAGGAACGTGTCCGTTTGGTTTAAAGGTAAAGACTGATAATGAAGAAACATAATTCCATGCAAGGTTGTATGTAGCTAGCTTTTATTTATCTCAGAAACTGAAGGAAAGAACATAGTCATTCAGCCTCCTTTCCACAGTGTTTCTATTTCTCCATCTTTGGTGTCTTTATACACGGTGATTATTGGTATGTGATTTCCTCAGTGGCTACTGTGTGAAAGCATGATACCTAACTCTAAGTCCCCATAATTCTGTCTCTGTAGGGTGGAATGATAGGCTGTTGCTGTTGTTAGTTGTCATAGGGTTGATTGCCACCCAGGTCTGCTCCATGAGTAGAACTTCTCCATAGGGTTTTCTTGGCTGTAATCTTTACAAAAGAAGATCTCCAGGCCTAACTTTTGCAGTACTGCTGGGTGGGTTTGAATGGCCAGCATTTAGGTTATCAGTTGAGGCAAACTGTTTGCACTACCTAGGAACCTCGAAGGAAAGGCTACATTCTCCCAGATACATCATGAGAGTCTGCCATCAAGGTACTCATCTGGAAGGAAGTTGATATATTTATGACTTTTAAATCACTCAATCTTTGGTATCTGGAAATCTTGCTATCAAAGTCTCTTCAGGCCATCAATAATAAAAGTGTCACAATATCTCAGGATAGTAAGGCACAGAATCTTGAAGATTGATATGTCCATTCTCAGGACAACAATCTCATTTAGACCAGTCATGTTTTCAGAGAGAAATTCATTCTCTGAACTCTGACCAATGCCTAAAACCAACCACACATCCTACTCCAGGTTTATCAATGTCACAATGAGAAGCTCAGCCTTATAAAGAATGTTTCCAACTTACTCTACCAAGTCTCATCCCAAACTATAGCCGAGACCTATCTTTAAACCAAGCTCAACTGAATTTCAAAAACTGGTCCTAATGATGTTTGTGGGTGCTAAGTGAGAGTAAGTGAAAGACTTTGGCTAATGCTTTGGCAAAAGTTCCACCAGGGCCAATTACTAATCCTCTGATGATTGAGAGGTCAATGCATTACCACATCCTACACTGTGTGACACTCTATTTAAATATCTCTCTAGAGTCACTGAAGAAAGAATTACAAAGAAGGGCCTGTGAACAAACGACAGCAACAGAGCCACGTTTGAAAGGCCCATGATTTGTTTTTGGGGAACACAACTCTCAAGCTTAATGGGTTTCTAGGGAAACAGAGTTAGAAAGAAGGTTTAAAACAGGAATAAAAAGAATTCTCTCCATACTGCTTATGGACTTTTTAGGACCAAAAATTGACAGAGTTGATTTGAGAAAACAGTGTCCAATTGAGTGATCTTGATTCACTAATAAATTTTATAGATCTATATACTAGCTTTTCCTGATTCGAAAACATTTGCATTATTCTCAAGGTTTTTAATTTGTATTGAATGTAGTTATATAAGATTTAAAAATATATATATTTTGAAGATTCACTTACACTTATATGGGAAGCCAGAAAAGTGAGTAGAAATTAAATCCTGCAGCTATGGAAGTTTGCTAACTTAAGTAGCTCATTTTCTCAGTAAATCCAGACTGGTAATGGGGACCAAAAATAAATTAATATATCCAAGATTTGGAAAGTTTTCTAAAGAGATAAGAATTTCAATGTTTCACTTGTTAGACTTTAATTTGGAATTTCTTCCTAGAAGTTCTTTCATTTCAAGCTCATGGAGTCTATTTGTGGCTGAGTTGCAAATGCCTGGAGGGGAAGATATCAATGAATGAGCTCAGTCTGAAAACTGAGGATTCCACAACCAATCAGACTCAGGTCAGTGATAATTAAATCTTTTTTCCCCAAAATTTTAAGTAGATTAACTTAATTTAACCAAGTTTTTCCACTGAAATAGTTTTTGCAGTTAGATTCTGTGACTGTAGGTTAGTATTTTTCTCCGAAAGTGAATTTAGACACAGTGATATGAAATCATTCTCTGATGACATCAATGCATCTGATTAGAGATGTACATGAATAATGACAGCATTCATAGACACCACTCTATACCCTTCCCCTAGCAGATGTCTAATCCATACTAAGTTCTAAAAACAAATTTATTGAAGAAATGAATAAAGGAACAAATGTTTGAACTCCATAGAAAAGCTGTACCCCAAATATTAGTAGAAACCCTATCTGTGATTTGTCAGTCCAGACACTGTTAAGAACTACTAAAGTTACTTTTACACCATTCTGGTCAACATTTATTTCTCACCAAGTAGATTGATTACCCACACAGTCACAAGAGCCACGGATATAAGAAAACAGCTCAGAGACTGAGCTCTTCTGAAAACTGAAGATTTTTCCCTCACCTTTATTGAAGCTGAGACACCCGTGACATTGAACTTTTGGACCATAAATTTTTAAGGAAAAATACATTATATAAGAAGGGGGAAAAAAAGGAATGAAATATCATATGATCCTTTGTAACAATAATACGTACGCACACATGAAAATCCATATACAGATCATTCCCAAAAAAGAACATATTCTTGTGTATGTTCAATGTTCCCATCACTTAGCAATGAAACCTCAAGTTCATCTTAGTTGATCAAATCTGTGCCTGAAGGAAAAATGGTATTATCTTAGATGGACCTAGTGTTTCTGTCTTGTCAATGGGAAACATCATGATTCATTTCATTCCCTTTGTAAATTGCAAGTGGGGAAATATATCTAATCCAGAGCATGATTCAACATGTGGTGAAAGATCCATTGCATGCAAAACTCATTTAAGAAATATTGTGATCTTTTCAGAGAACTTCACAACACTTAACATGTCTGTATCTAAGATGAAAAGAGTGAAATAAAGGGTTGTATTGAGCCAGATAGAACATGCAGGGCTATTGAATGGGTGTACTTGATAGGCTGTTATAAAGATCATTCCTGGGCATTTTGAAAGAAAGAAAGCTCCATCTGCAGCTCTGTCCATATCCTATGTGCATGTACATTCATTTGACAGAAAGGAATAAGAGATTAGAGAACACAGCTGACATAGATACAGCACTTTTTGGCAAGCTCACATCTGATACACAGTTGACTTTTCAAAGAATGTCATGTTCATATACTTATAAATATTCGTGCCAATAGACAATTATAACTTCTCAAATAATTCTTTTTGATTAATTTTTTCACCGAAAGTGAAAGAAAGCAAACCCTATCGTCTTAGAGACTTTTAGAGACAAGATGAAATTTGGAAGCCAACCATAAATCATCATTCATGACAACACCTTGCTTTTACTGAGATGTTTGTAAGGTATTGTTACTATTTGATGATTATGAAATAGGATATATTTAACCTCCTTCTGTTCTTTATGACCATCTGCAAAATGGCAGAGGTGAGGGGATTGTAGCTCCATCAATACCAGAGACCAGGACTAAAGAGATGATGGAATATTTTGCTATTGGGTTAAAAATATCAACACTCAGAACTACTGTGATCTTTTCAGATGGGACACAAGCCCTCAACCCAGGCTGCTTTAATAAAACGGATGAAAAATGTAACTGAATTCATCTTGCTGGGCCTGACTCAGAATCCAGAACTGCAGAAGCTCTTATTTCCTGTGTTTTTAATCACCTACTTGATGACTTTGGCAGGTAATCTGCTCATCTCAGTCACTGTCTTCATCAGCCCAGCTCTGGGCTCTCCCATGTACTTTTTTCTGTCCTGTTTGTCCATTATAGATGGTTTCTACTCTTCCTCCATAGTTCCCAAAATGATCTTTGATTTGATCTCTGAGAAAAACACCATATCCTTCAATGGCTGCATGACTCAGCTCTTTGCTGAACATTTTTTTGCTGCAGCTGAGATCATCTTGTTAATTGCAATGGCCTATGACCGCTATGTGGCCATCTGCAAGCCCTTACACTACATGACTATCATGAGCAGGCTTCTGTGTGGTCTCCTCGTGGGGATGGCTGGGCTTTTGGGGTTTATTCATGGAGGGATTCAGATTTTGTTCATGGTCCAGTTACCATTTTGTGGCCCTAATGTCATTGACCATTTTATCTGTGATTTAATACCTCTCCTAGAGCTGGCCTGCACAGACACTCACACTTTGGGGCCCCTGATTGCTGCCAATAGTGGCTCACTCTGTTTGCTCACTTTTTCTATGCTGGTTGCGTCCTATGTCATCATAGTGCGCTCCCTGAGGTCTTACAGCTCTGAAGGGCGCCGCAAAGCCCTCTCTACCTGTGCTTCTCATGTCACTGTTGTCATCTTATTCTTTGTACCTTGTTCATTCCTGTACCTAAGACCCATGACCTCCTTCCCGGCTGACAAAGCTGTGACTGTATTTTGCACTCTAGTAACTCCTATGTTGAACCCTTTAATCTACACCCTGAGAAACGCGGAAGTGAAAAATGTCATGAGAAAGTTCTGGGGTCATATAATGAAAACCGGTGATAAATAAATCTTGTGATTGAAATAATTTAAAAAATAATTGTTGATTAAACTTGGGACAGTCACTTCTCCTGTCTGGATCAATTTGCTTTAGGAACCCACATGTTGTGGGCAGAGTTGACTTTTCATTAGGCACAATAGACACAGTGCCTAGAGCTTCAAACTGTGGAACTTTCTTCTAAAATGTTTCATTATTTAAAGATAATAGTACCCTACCAATAGGAGGATGTGAACATCAATGAAGCAATGTAATATAAAGAATTTTCATCTCTTTAACTTATTGTATGTTTACTATTTGTAAAGTGTTTTATATTCCTTCTGACATTTAATTCTCAAAACAGTCGTATAAATTCGATACTATTGTTATTCCTGTTTTGCAAACTAGGCAGCCAAGGGTGAGAGACGTTAATTATATTGCTCAAGACCAATTAGTTAAGATTTGACTGAATCAAAATTCAAATCTAAGCCTGTGTGACCCAAAGTCTTTGCACTTTATAATTCCCATTTACTTCCCTGTAATACAAATAGACAATAAGCTCAATGTCTTACATTGCTTTCTTTTCTTTGGAATTTTCCTTTCAGAATTCTTTGGCCTTCTTTTTGAGACAATTTGAACGTGAACTTGCTTGCACAGATAGGTCGGTTTGAAAGGTATGAGTCTCCAAAAACCCAGTTAGTGACTAGTTGGTAATTTATAACTTCATGCTATTTTATGTTGTTAACTGTACTAAAACATACTTTTCAAACAGATTAGTGTGCTTTTCTAGAAAGTTCCTTGACATAAAAGTGTAGCAAGCTGGCAAGGAGATAGACTATTTTTTAGTGAACCTCACCATGATTTCACATTTCGTAGGTGATTAGGAAATTGGCTCAATTATTCTTTTATCACCGAACAGCAGAAATGAATGGGTGTAGAATTCAGGGTATCGGTTATATCTAGCTATTACTAGCTGTCATGGATTGAATTGTGTTCCACAAAAATATGTATATCGATTTTGCTAGGCCGTGATTCTCAGTATTTTGTGATTGCCCACCGTTTTTTCATCTGATGTCATTTTCCTATTTGTTGTAAATCCCATCTCTGTGATATTAATGAGGTAGGATTAGAGACAGTTATATTGATGAGATCTACAAGATTAGATTGTGTCTCGAGCCAATCTCTTTTGAGATATAAAAGAGAGAAGCGAGCAGAGAGACATGTAAACCTCATACCACCAAGAAAGTAACAGTGGGAGCAGATTGTGTCCCTTGGACCAGAGGTTCCTGTGCAGAGAAGCTCCTAGACCACAGAAAGATTGATGAAAAGGACTTTCCCCCAGAGCCAAAAGAGAGAAAGCCTTCCCCTGAAGCTGACACCCTGAATTTGGACTTGAAGCCTACTAAACCATGATAGAATAAATTTCTCTCTGTTAAAGCCAACCACTTGTGGTATTTCTGTTACAGCAGCACTAGATAAATAAGACACTAGCCAATCAAAATGTGATACAGTGAAAGAAGTCAAAATATATTTCTTCTGTGGACTCTGTAAATGTTCAGTTATTCTAGACATAGAACTTTGGGGACAAAACAAGAACTATTTCCTGATGATCTCACAAATTTATTGGAGACCAGTTTTAAATATATACCCTGATAGATAAGAAACTGCTTTTCAATTGTTGAACAAAAAATCAAATTCACAAAACTGATCAGACTTAACCGATCTGACAGAGACTGGAAGAACTCCCGAGACGAGGACTCTAAGACAACTTCTGACCTTGAACTGAAGCCATTCCCAGAGACCACCTTACAGCCAAACTATAGACAGGCCTATAAAGATAAGCAATAACACCCGAAAGAAACGCACTCCTTAAAACAATCAATTATACGAGATCAAAAGGCAGAATTTGCCCAAAAGCAAAGATAAGAAGGCAGGAAGAGGTGGAAAATCAGGACCTAAGGAAACAGGGAAACTAGGGCAGAAATGGCAAGAGTGTTGACCCATTGTGGGAAATGAAACCAATTTCATGGAACACTTTATGTACAAATTATCAAAAGGGAAACTAATTCACTCTGTTAATTTTCACCTAATGCACAATAAAAAGTTTTTTGTAAAAAGAATTTGCTTTTCATATTAATTTCTAGTTTGTTTCTCCTTATGTAAAAAGTGGGAAAGTTGCAACATGAAGATTGTAGATTATTTGGCAAACAAAGGATAAATTTCTTACAAATTAAGGGAGCTTACACTCTTGAATCTACTCAACAGCAACGGGATACACTCTTGAAGGGTGAGGGCTGGAAAGAGTTTATAAAATCATGAAAAAGACAGGACAAACATGGACATAAGTTTCAGATTACAGAACAGTAGAGTCCTTGGAGTTTGAAACAGACACAGTTATGGAAAATGAAAGGAAATGTCATTTTGCTTTACTGGCCAAAAATTTAAACCATTCAATCCAAAGGACAACATATATTTCAAACCTAATAGATATAGAAAATCAAAAGAAGTCATAGAAAACTATTTTTATGGACAATTAGGAAAGAGTTGAGGTCAACATAATATTAACACGTAAAACATGCTGTGTTTACCATGTGCAGAAACTGGGCTAAGAACTTTACAAAGGCTGTCTCTCACAACATCACTTTGAGATATATATTATAACTATCCCTATTATAAAGACAGATATCAGAGGTTTATAAATGTTTTGCCATTCATTCAAGGTCACTGGTAAGCATGGGAAACAAGATTCAGACTCAGGATGATCCATTTTGAGAGCCAGAGATATTAGTCTCTCTGCCATAGTAAAGCAGCTTGTCTTAGTTATCTAGTGCTGCTATAACAGAAATACCATAAGTGGACGGCTTTAACAAAGAGAAATTTATTTTCTCACAGTCTAGTAGGCTAGAAGTCCAAAATCAAGCATCAGCTTCAGGGGAATTCTTTCTCTCTCTGTTGGCTCTGGAGGAAGGTCCAGTCATCAATCTTCCCATGGTCTAGGAGCTTCTACACACAGGAACCCTAGGTTCAAAGGACATGCTCTGCTCCTGGCACTGCTTTCTTGGTGGTATGAGGTCTCCCTGTCTCTCTACCCACTTCTCTCTTTTATATCTCAAAAGAGATTGGCTCGGAGTTCCGGGAAAATGGCGCTCTAGGCAGAAGCACAATGCCGTCCCTCTACAGCAAAGATCTGAAAAACTAAGCCATACAGAGAATACAACAATCCTGAAACCCTAAAACATCAAATGAAGAGATAAAGAACTCAGCCAAGCAC